CCCGGGACCCCCCACCCCGAGAGCCGCCATGAGCCCTGCGGGGAGGGGGCAACGCCGGGACCCCCATAACGCCGTGGAGGTCCTCCAACAACAGCCAAAGGTCCTCCAACAACAGCCGGAGGTTTTCCAAGAGGCCGCGGTCAACCGAGGCGCTGTGGTCCTCCAACAGCACGTGGTCCTCCAACAGAACGCGGACCTCCAAGGAGCCCCTCCGGAAGCTGAGGTCCTCCAAGACTCTATGGTCAGCCAGGGGTCTGTGGTCCTCCAAGGCTCCGTGGTCCTCCAACACCCTGCGGTCCTCCGAGACTCCGTGGTTCACCTGGAGACAGAGGTCCCCCAAGACTCTATGGTCCGCCAGGACCCCAATGTCAACCCAGACCTCATCGTCCTCCAAGACTCTATGGTCAGTTGGGGCTCCGTGGTCCTCCAAGGCTCCGTGGTCCTCCAACACCCCACGGTCCAGCTGGAGGCAGAGGTCAACCGAAGCTCTGTGGTCCTCCAACACCCCGCGCACCTCCAAGACCTCAAAGTCAACCGAGACTCCGTGGTCCTCCAAGACTCCGTGCTCAACCGAGGCTCCGCAGTCCTCCAAGACCCCGCGGTCCACCTGGAGACAGAAGTCCTCCAACACCCCTCGCTCCTCCCCTCCCCCGTGACCCCCCCGGAACCTGACCCCCCCCAGGGTCCCACCGCCAACCCCGGCCCCCTGACCGACCGACGCTCTGTGACCCCCCAGCGCTCCGTTCCCGTGGACCTGGAGGACCCCACAGCCCTCGGGGACGCAGAGAGTCGCCAGGACTCTATGGTCAGCTGCGGCCCCACGGATCAGCTGGAGCTGAAGACCCCCCGCCACCCCACGGCCTCTCTGGGTCTGGAGGTCCTCCAGAACTCTGTGTCCGACCGCCGCCCCGCAGCCCCTCTAGGCCTCAAGGCTCACCCCAACTCTATGGTTAACTGTGACCCGACGGAACACCTTGACTTGAAGGCCCGCCACGACTCTACGGCCAACCACGACCCAACGGCCGCTCTAGGCCTCAAGGTCCTCCACGGCTCTATGGCCGACTGCAGCCCTGCGGCCTCTCTAGGCCTCAGTGCCCACCGTGACTCTGTGATTAATTGTGAAACGGCCGCTCTAGGCCCCAAGGTCCCCCAGAACTCTATGATCAACTGCAGCCCCACGGCCACTCTAGGCCCCAAGGTCCCCCAGAACTCTATGATCAGCTGCAGCCCCACGGCCGCTCTAGGCCTCAATGCCCACCGTGACTCTGTGATTAATTGTGACCCAACGGCCGCTCTAGGCCCCAAGGTCCTCCAGAACTCTATGGTCAACTGCAGCCCCACGGCCACTCTAGGCCCCAAGGTCCGCCAGGACTCTATCGTTAACACCGATCCAATGGAACACCTTGACTTGAAGGCCCACTGTGACTCTATGGTTAACCACGACCAAACGGCCGCTCTAGCCCCCAAAGCCCACTGTGACTCTATGGCCAACTGCGACCCAACGGACACTCTAGGCCCCAATGCCCACCACAACTCTATGGTCAAACTCAGCCATGTAGCTCCTCTAGTCCCAAAGGCCCACTGTGATTCTATGGCCAACCATGACCCGACGGCCTCTCTAGGCCTCAAGGTCCTCCAGAACTCTGTGGTCGACTGCAGCCCCATGACCACTCTAGGACTCAATGCCCACCGTGACTCTATGGTTAACTGTGACCCGATGGAACACCTTGACTTGAAGGCCTACCACAACTCTATGGCCAACCCTGTCCCAACGGCCTCTCTAGACCTCATGGTCCCCCAGAACTCTATGGTCAACCACAGCTCCATGGCCGCTCTAGGCCCGAAGTCCCACTGCAACTCTATGGCCAACCATGACCCAGTGGCCACTCTAGGCCCCAATGCTCACAGTAACTCTATGGTCAGTTGCAGTCCCATGGCCACTCTAGGCCTGAAGACCTCCTGCGACTCTATGACCAACCACGACCCAGCGGCCACTCTAGGCCCAAAGACCCCCTGCGACTCTATGACCCACAGCAGCTGTATGGCCACTCTAGGCCCAAAGATCCCCTGCAACTCTATGACCAATCACAACCCAGCGGCCACTCTAGGCCCAAAGAGCCCCCGCAACTCTATGACCAACCATGACCCAACGGCCACTCTAGGCCTGAAGATCCCCTGCAACTCTATGACCCACCACAGCTCTACAGCCACTCTAGGCCTGAAGACCACCTGCAACTCTATGACCCACAGCAGCTCTACGGCCACTCTAGGCCTAAAGACCTCCCGCAACTCTATGACCCACAGCATCTCTACGGCCACTCTAGGCCTAAAGACCCCCTGCGACTCTATGACCCACCGCAGCTCTATGACCAACCAGGACCCAGCGGCCACTCTAGGCCCGAAGACCCCCTGCGACTCTATGACCCACAGCATCTCTACGGCCACTCTAGGCCTAAAGACCTCCCGCAACTCTATGACCCACAGCATCTCTACGACCAACCACGACCCAGCAGCCGCTCTAGGCCCGAAGACCCCCTGCAACTCTATGACCCCCCGCATCTCTACGACCCACAGCAGCTCTATGACCAACCACGACCCAGCGGCCGCTCTAGGCCTGAAGACCCCCTGCAACTCTATGACCCACAGCATCTCTATGACCCACAGCATCTCTACAACCAACCACGACCCAGCAGCCGCTCTAGGCCCGAAGACCCCCTGCAACTCTATGACGCACAGCATCTCTACGACCAACCACGACCCAGCAGCCGCTCTAGGCCCGAAGACCCCCTGCGACTCTATGACCCACAGCATCTCTATGACCCACAGCATCTCTACAACCAACCATGACCCAGCGGCCGCTCTAGGCCCGAAGACCCCCTGCAACTCTATGGCCCACAGCATCTCTACGACCAACCACGACCCAGCGGCCGCTCTAGGCCCGAAGACCCCCTGCAACTCTATGACCCCCCGCATCTCTACGGCTGCTCTCTGCCCTGAACGTCCGTCTGCCCCACGTCGCCGCCTGCCTGCCTTGGCCATCCTCACCCTCTGCGCCCTACTGTGCCCTCCTGGCACCTCGGCCTCAACCTTAGAATTCCCAGGGACTCCGGGTCAGTGGGTTCGTTACAACCGCTGGGGATCCGGTGGTCGTTTGAGCTTCAGCTTGAAAACCAACGTCAGCCGCTCTCTGTTGCTCTACATGGACGACGGTGGCAACTGCGACTTCTTGGAGCTGCTGGTGGCCGAAGGGAGGCTGAGGCTGCGTTTCGCCATCGCCTGCGCCGAACCCACCGTCGTGGCGTCGGCGTCGGCGGTGAACGACGGCCGCTGGCATTCGGTGACGTTGAGCCGGCGAGGGAGAGAAGCGACGCTGGCGGTGGACGGGGAAACGTCGGCGGGGGTCGTGAGGTCCAAAAGGGCCGAGATGGCGGTGGGCAGCGATTTGTTCGTGGGGGGGATTCCGCCTGACGTCCGTCTGTCCGCTCTGACTCTCAGCACGGTGAAATACGAAGCTCCTTTCCGGGGTTGGGTGGCTGAGTTGAGGGTGGGTGAAGAGCCGGCGGTGATGCTGGGGGCTCAGGGGGTGCGTGGGGTGAACGGCCGGGAGGAGGAGGAGGAAGAGGAGGAAGAGGAGGAGGAGGAGGAAGAGAGGAGACGTTGCGCCCAGCACCCACCTTGCGCCCATGGAGGGCGATGCGCCCTGAGGAGGGGGGAGCCACAGTGCGACTGCGCCGGCACCGGGCACAGCGGGCCCTTCTGCGGGGAAGGTGAGGGGAAGGGGACGGTTGTTGTGGGGTGGGGGGTTGTTGTGGGGTGGGGGGTTGTGGGGTGGGGGG